CCACTTCCCGGCGGATGTCAGGTGGTGCAATACTGGCTAAACAGTGTAATTTCTCCAGTGGTGTAGGGCGCAAGCACCCCGTGATGATGCGGCATGTCTCATTAAGACTACTGCTAATCAAGGGTTAAAAAATCTCTGAAATCATAACAGTAAATAAATAATAACACTCAAAAACAGGGGAATTCCAGACAAGAAACAATCACCTCCCAACACAGGATTCCCCCAGGCAGGCAGGAAGCAGACAGACTTTGAAGCTGCAAGGCCATTAAATGCTAATCAAGGTGGCCAACTGAAACATTCACACCTTGGTTTCATGCACACCCATATTTGTTTAAATGCAGAATGGCCTTTCAGCTTTGCCCTTGCTCCCTCAAGTTGCTTATATCATACAGGATCATTTTCTTATCTGCTCAAAAGGAATTCCATCTGTGACTGTTTCTAGAAAGAGGTAGACGTGCTTTAGTCACCTGCAGGTTACTCCAGTTTGGGATGTTTTATCCTGGAACTGGCTGCGGAACTCCTTTGGAAATATCACTACTTCAGAGTGTATGGCCTGACCTCGATTTCTCACTACAAGTTACACATGGACAGCAATAAGAAAAAGCTGGGGCTTGCTTTATCATACAGTGAATGTTAGTCAATCTTAATTTAGTCTCATGGTATGTTTGGGGTGAGGGTGGGATCAGGTAACTTGATTAAATGAGTGATGCACCAAACATGACTCATTTGAAGCTGTATTAATTACAGTATTTACCCACAGTTGCCCTGGTATTGTTGGGTCTGCCACACCTGCCTACTTTCTCCCTTTTCCAGCTTTGAGAATTTATTTATTTATTTATTTATTTACTCCATTTGTATACCGCATATATCAGCCTGCGACGGCGACTCAATGCGGTTTACAGTAAAAATGGCAACACTGACAATATATAAGACGTACATACACAAACAACACATACAGTCATCAACGCCTCAATTAGAATCAGATCCCGTTCTCATAGTCCTTTTTCGTTCCTTGTTCAATGCCATCTTACTGAGTTAGTTGCATAGTTGTCCCAAACGCCTGCTCATAGAGCCACATCTTAACCCTCCTCCGAAACACCAGCAACGAAGGGGCCTGCCTGATGTCCACTGGTAGGGCATTCCATAGCCGAGGGGCCACCACTGAGAAGGCCCTGTCTCTCGTCCCCGCCAACCGTGCCTGCGACGCCGGCGGGACCGAGAGCAGGGCCTCCCCGGACGATCTTAAAGTCCTCGCCTTTGACACAATGCCTTTGTGAGAAGGCCTTTGACACAATGGCATAGACAACCTGTGAGATGTATTGTCGAAGGCTTTCATGTCCGGAATCACTGGGTTGTTGTAGAGTTTTTGGGCTGCCTGGCCATGTTCCAGAAGCATTCTCTCCTGACCTTTCGCCTGCACCTATGGCAGGCATCCTCAGAAGTTGTGAGGTCTGTTGGAAAACTAGGAACATGGGATTTATATATCTGTGGAATTCCCAGGATGGGAGAAAGAACTCTTGTCTGTTGGGGGGAGATGTGAATGTTTCCGTTGGCCACCTTGATTAGCATTTGATGGCCTGACAGTTCACCCATCACCCAAGTCAGAAAAGAAGCACCATTAAAGCCCTGGCAGACCATCCAAAAAGAATCTTCGAACCCCATCTCCTCCAAGGCGAACTGAACCAAGAACCCACAACCTCTGAGGTTTATTTTGGTTGACGCGGGGTGTTGCACCCACTTAATGAACCTGTTGGTGTCTGGGGACTACCCACTCTATGGTTGGATTTTTAAATGGAGTTTAAATTGGAATTAATTTTTTTGCAGAACCCATACAGTGCTTTTTTTGGGTAACTCTGGGGTTCCATGCAACACAGTTTGAAAACCTCTGCTTTAGCATGTGTGATTAATCCTTTGTTTGCGAAGGGTGTGCCATGAAGCTTCTCTCTTACATACAGATGGGAGAGTCAACAGTAGGAACTCTTCTACCAAACCTTTCTGCATTGATAACCCCATGCAAGTGCAAACCTGCATTCCCTGAGTCTTTGGGTGTTTAAAGTGCTGGATCGTGCCCTGGATTAAATCAAACGGTCACTGACATTCGCTTTGTTCCCCAGCTATGCTCCCTGGTGCCCTGCGTGTCAGAACCTGCAGCCGGAATGGGAAAGCTTCGCGGAATGGGGAGAGGACTTGGAGGTCAACATTGCCAAAGTGGACGTGACGGAGCAGCCAGGTAAGGCCCTGAGCAACATCACGCCGCTCCACATTTCCTGGCTTGATGCACACTGGTCTCCTTAGATGAGGAATGTGCTGTGCGGATTGTTTGCTTGTGTGAGGTTTACTAAACACACCTGAATGAAGTAAACTTACTGATTCCTCAGTATACAAAGGTGATTCCTCTGAATACAAAGGTGAAGTATTTGGCAGAGAGGTCAGCCACTCACTGTGAATGTTTGGCGTTTGTTGGGCACCAATCTTATGCAAGTAGCGCAGATGCGCATGATGACGACGTAAGAGTTCCAGCAGCAAAGATTAAATAATGATCCTTTTTTTCTGGATTTTCCTGCAAACAAGCCATTTTCTGTGGCAGCTCAGAGCATCAGATGGCATTTGTTTTAAAGTTTGACTGTTTCATCAGTTCTGTGGGGATAATGGCCCGGCTTTTGTGAAGATTGCTGGTATGATGTGAGGCTTCATGTGAGTGGCTTACTTTTACTTAGGCGATCCCTCGTTGGCCGAGTAGGATAGTCTTCCAGGATCAGTGTTCTGGTGGATCCGTAGGTGACTGTGAAGCCCTCTTCTTGATCTGCATCTTCTCCCGCAGTGAGGGCATCGGTTTCCAGGTGGAAGGGGTCCCGGTCGAGGTTGGCTTGACACACCTTCTTCCTCTTGGCATGTTTATCTCTTTCACCCTCCAGTCATGCCTCTTCAAATTCTGCAGCACTGCTGGTCACAGCTAACCTCCAGCTGGAGCACTCAAGGGCCAGGGCTTCCCAGTTCTCAGTGTCTATGCCAGAGTTTTTATGGTTGGCTTTGAGCCCATCTTTAAATCTCTTTTCCTGCCCACCAACATTCCGTTTTCTGTTCTTGATTTTGGAGTAGAGCAACTGCTTTGGGAGATGGTGGTCAGGCGTCCGGACAACGTGACGGGTCCAGCAAAGTTGATGGCGGAGGACCATCGCTTCAATGCTGGTGGTCTTTGCTTCTTCCAGCACACTGACGTTTGTCCGCTTGTCTTCCCAAGAGATTTGCAGGATTTTCCGGAGGCAGCACTGATGGAATCGTTCCAGGAGTTGCATGTGATGTCTATAGACAGTCCACGTCTCACAGGCATATAGCAGGGTTGGGAGGACAATAGCTTTATAAACAAGCGCCTTGGTATCCCTATGGATGTCCCAGTCCTCAAACACTCTGCTTGCCATAGATGCAGGTGAAACGTCAAGAGAGAATGCTTCTATACCATGGCCATATACTCATAGAATCATAGAATCAAAGAGTTGGAGGAGACCTCCTGGGCCATCCAGTCCAACCCCATTCTGCCAAGAAGCAGGAATATTGCATTCAAATCACCCCTGACAGATGGCCATCCAGCCTCTGTTTAAAAGCTTCCAAAGAAGGAGCCTCCACCACACTCCAGGGCAGAGAGTTCCACTGCTGAACGGCTCTCACAGTCAGGAAGTTCTTCCTCTTGTTCAGATGGAATCTCCTCTCTTGTAGTTTGAAGCCATTGTTCCCTGTCCTAGTCTCCAGGGAAGCAGAAAACAAGCTTGCTCCCTCCTCCCTGTGGCTTCCTCTCACATATTTATACATGGCTATCATATCTCCTCTCAGCCTTCTCTTCTTCAGGCTAAACCTGCCCAGCTCCTTAAGCCGCTCCTCATAGGGCTTGTTCTCCAGACCCTTGATCATTTTAGTCACCCTCCTCTGGACACATTCCAGCTTGTCAATATCTCTCTTGAATTGTGGTGCCCAGAATTGGACACAATATTCCAGGTGTGGTCTAACCAAGGCAGAATAGAGCATGGGGAGCATACTTCCCTAGTCCAAAAAACCTACAACAACCCACTCTTTGCTTCATTCGGAAAAATGCTGCACTGACAGAGCTCAGGCGGTGTTGTATTTCAGTGTCAATGTTGACTTTTGTGGAGAGGTGGCTGCCAAGGGAGCGGAAATGGTCAACATTTTCTAATGTTACACCATTAAGCTGTATTTCTGGCATTGGAGAGGGATTGGCTGGTGACTGCTGGAAGAGCACTTTGGTTTTCTCGATGTTCAATGACAGGCCAAGCTTCTCGTATGCTTCTGCGAAGGTGTTTAGAGTGGCTTGTAGATACACACAGATGACATTGTCATCAGCATACTGGAATTCTATAACAGATGTCATTTTGGTTTTCAGTCTGCTGAAGGGAAACAGCTTGTGAGTGGCATGGACCTTGTAATAACCCAGAGTGGTCTGTAGCCTAATGCTATGTAGCCTAATTCACTGCTTTGTAACTGCTTTGAGGAAGTTCACATTGCATAACTCTTTTCGTCTTAACAATTGTGATTGCGTCATCTGTGTGTGTGAGAAAGAGATTAAGAGAACTGTTCATGATCTGCCAAAGGCTTCTGCTTTTGTTTGAAATCATTCTGCTTGGCAGGAAGAGGGTGGGCTCCTATTCAGTCCTTGCTGATGACCTTTCCTTAGCATGAGATTCAAGAACTTTTAACAGGTCTTAACAGGACACTGCCCTGAGTCCCTTTTGGGAGATAGGAAGGGAGACAAATAAACTGTGATTATATTATTAGCCGCACCCACCACACATTACTGTGGCCAACCTTCCCTCTCTCCTTCTCTTCTTTCCTTCCTTCCTTCTTTCCTTCCCCTTTTCTTTCTTTCTTTCTTTCTCTCCTTTCTTCCTTCTCTTCCTCTTCCCTTTCTTCCCCCTTTTTCTTTCCCTTCCTCTTTCTCTCCTTTCTTCCTTCTCTACTTATTCTTGCACTGCAACTCCCAGCACTCCTCGTGATCTGCCTGCCTACCTATCGCTATCTAATCTATCTATCTGGAGGATAGCTGCGATAAGTGAGGGAGCACTGTCTTGTTATTACCAAGCAACACTGGTGCTTCAGAGCAGACAGCCTCAAAACAAGCCACCTGCTAACCTTGACTTCCCTTTGGATCTTTGCGCAGGACTCAGTGGGAGGTTCATCATCACAGCGCTGCCCACCATCTACCAGTAAGTACACCAAATTCTGGTTGCTTTTTGCTCAGAATGAGGGAAATCCACAATTTCTGAATGTTTGCCTTTAATTATCTATCTATCTGTCTGTCTGTCTATCTAAATAAATGTTCATTTGTGGGAGAAACATAACTCTGAAACCACTGGATGAACTGACATGACATTTTGATATAATACATCTAATAGTCCAGTGAGTGTCCATCACCCCTAAACACACACACACACACACACACACACACAGCAGCAGCAGAATGGACTTTAAAACTCCCAAAATATACCATATATACACATACATTCATATACATACACACATGCACACATACAGACACACACATACATATATATATACACGCAAGCACAAATATACATATATACACAAATACATATAGGAACCCCCGGTGGCGCAGTGGGTTAAAGCTCTGTGCCAGCAGGACTGAAGACCAACAGATCGCAGGTTCGAATCCGGGGAGAGGCGGATGAGCTCCCTCTATCAGCTCCAGCTCCTCATGCGGGGACATGAGAGAAGCCTCCCACAAGGATGATAAAAACATCAAATCATCCGGGCGTCCCCTGGGCAACGTCCTTGCAGACAGCCAATTCTCTCACAACAGGAGCGACTTGCAGTTTCTCAGGTCGCTCCTGAGACGACAAAAAAAACAAAACAAACCAAATACACACACACACATATACACCTAGACAGATATACATATACACATACATATATACATACATACACACACATATATGCATATACACAAACATATACACAATATACATATACACACATAAAGACAAAAATACACAAATATATATACACACACATATATACACACATATACACAAATACAAACAGACATAAACAAATATATACACACATAAAACATATATACACAGACTGGGCCACAGCAATGCGTGGCAGGGGACAGCTAGTAGTAATAATAATATACTTCATTTATATTCCTCTCTTATCTCTCTGAGGGGACTCAGGGTGGATTATAGAATACATACACAGCAAACATTCAGTGCCGTTATACAATTAACAAGGGCAGACGATACGTAAACAGAGGTAACAGGCTTTTCCCATCTTTTCTATCTCCGGCATCTGGAGGCTGTGCTCAGCTCCAGCCACTGGGGGTGCTGTCGCTCCATCTTCCATGCCGAGGAGCTTTGTCGTCTTTAGACATCCTTCCAGTTGGATCAGATCACCGGCATGTCCTTATGGTCACCTTTTATTACCTCCCCGCTTAAAGCAGTACCTATTTATCTACTCACATTTCTGTTTTTCATCTGCTAGCTGGACTGGGAGCTGGGGCTTGTCAACTTGACAGAAGCAAATGCTAGATACACCAGATACAGCTTTGTAAAATCATGGAGACGTCAGGTTACAAGGAAAACTCAGTTTACTAAGCACAGAGCAAAAGCACATCCATCTTCAGCAAGCGACACACAAGAGCACAACTCAGGAAAACCGAAAGTCAAAACAGTTCTTTGCAGCTGCTTAGCTCTGCTGCTCCAAACGGTTAACTCCCTAAATTTTTTCAGCGGCAGCAGAGAGCTTATCTTAAGGTCACTCAATCACAGCTTCGACATAAACATTTCAGCATAGCATTACACTCTAAGTGGCATCCATACTGGCAATACAAGAATTACATTTAAAAGACACAAACAATATACCTCAATAAATCTTGACAGGGCTGACGGCAGATGCTCACCCCGACCCCGACTTGAATGGCCAACCTTTTGATTGGCAGGATTTTCTGCAGCTTAGAGGTTTAACCCGCTGTGCTAAGCCTGGCCCGTTTACATGAGTTAAATAGTTTTTGATTTCATGTGTAGTTTGATTGCATTTTAGCACCAACTTGCATATGTTTTTGCAAATCCCATGATTGGGGATAAGGTGGGGTATATATACGCAATCAGCAACACTTGCCTTGGCTGTGCGGAGAGACTGACGCGCCTCTTTCCTTCCGTGCAGTTGCAAAGATGGGGCGTTCAGGCGGTACCAGGGTCCGCGGACAAAGACGGACTTCATCAACTTCATCAGCGACCAGGAGTGGAAATCCATTGAGCCAGTCTCCTCCTGGTTCGGCCCCTCTTCCTTCCTGTAAGTCCCTCTCCTCTCTCTCTGCATTTTGCAAGGGAATCGCTTTGGAGAAGCTCTTGCCTCCGACCAGGGCTGGGCTACGGGGCCTATGGGGTCTCTCCCAACTCGAACCTGCGACCTTTCGGTTATCTATTATTATTATTACTACTACTACTACTACTACTACTACTACTATGTTTGTTTATGTTCTGCTTTTGGCATACAGAGACTCAAAGCGGCTCACAACTAAAAGCATTTCAATACAACAGAATATACAAATATTATATATTAAATATTTAAATATTAAATACTAGCTGTACCCGCCACACGTTGCTGTGGCCAATCTTCCCTCCCTCTTTCTCTCCTTCCTTCACTCCCTCCTTCCTTCCTTCTTTTCCTTTCCTTTCCTTCCTTCCTTCTCTACCTCTTTCCTTCCTTCCTTCACTTTTTGCTTTCATCCTTCCTTCTCTTTCTTTCTTTCCTTCTCTACCGCTTT